CCAAGTAGCTGGGACTACAGGTGCCTACCACAACGCCCGGCCATTTTTTGGTTGCAGCTGTCATTGTTGTTTGGCAGGCCAGGCTGGGGATTCAAACCCGCCACCTTAGGTGTATGTGGCTGGCGCCTTAGCCGCTTGAGCCACAGGAGCCTAGCTGGAAAAATACTATTTACTGAGCCATCACAGTTGCATTTCTGTGGCCTGCAGCAGAGAGCAACTCTAACATATTCTCATACATTGGTACATCTTAATTACTCTAGAGGTCATGAAGGTAGCACACAAATATTTAAGTTCTCCTTTGAGGCATATGGCAGAACTGCACTCTTCCATCCTCTGAATTAAGTATGGTCTTCTTACTTGCTCTGGCCAATTTCCTTAGAATTCCTTAGCAAAGTAACCGGTGATACTCTGAGTGGAAACTTTATTTTATTTATTTATTTATTTATTTATTTATTTATTTATTTGAGACAGAGTTCTACCCTATGCCCTGAGCAGAGTGCAATGGCGTCGTAGCTCACTGCAACCTCAGACTGGGGCTGTGGGCATCCTGCTGCCTCAGCCTCCAAAGCCGCTAGGATTACAGGTGCTCACTGTGGCGCCCAGCTGGGTTTTTCAATTTTTTTCATGAGTCAGGGTCCCACTCTCACTCAGACAAACCTCAAACTCCTGAGCTCAATCAATCCTCCCGCCTCAGCCTCCAATGTGCTGGGATTACAGGCATGAGCCACTGCACCCAGCTGATTAGAAACTTTAAAAACTACTGATCAGAGGCTTGGTGCCTGTGGCTCAAGCGGCTAATGGTGCCAGCCACATACAACTGAGCTGGCAGGTTCGAATCCAGCCTGGGCCCACCAAACAACAATGACGGCTGCAACCAAAAAATAGCTGGGCATTGTGGTGGGCGCCTGTGGTCCCAGCTACTTGGGAGGGTGCGGCAGAAGAATCACTTGAGCCCAGGAGTTGAAGGTTGCTGTGAGCTGTGATGCCACAGCACTCTACCCAGGGTGACAGCTTGAGGCTCTGTCTCAAAAAAAAAAATTGTAATAATATATACAGATAACAAAAGATGAATGTAAGTCCTGTTTGAGCACCTCTGCTAATTGCAGAAGTCTAATAATCTACAATTAGACTTGAGTATTATAATTTTACTACAGTTTTTGCCTTTCTTAAAATGTGTATATTTTTTTGACACCTTTGTTATATACAATTTTTCATAAATGAATTCATTTATGTAAAACAGGCTTGTAACCTTTTTAGAAATTCAATAATATATCAAAGACATTTTTCCATGCCAAACAATATGTTTCTACATTATATTTTACTGGTTACATATTATTCTACATGCAACATAATTTGTAAAATTTAAAATAATATTCAGTTGACCAAAAGAAGTCAGACACAAAGAGTACATACTGTATAATTACATTTATATGAACTTCAAAAACAGGCAAAAGTAATCTATGGTGACTGACATAAGTCATAAGAATGCGAACCTTATCTGTCTGGGAGGTTTTATCTGGGAAGGGGCACACTAGAGCCTTCCAGAATGCTGGAAATGTTCTGTACCTTGATTTGGGTGATGATTACACAAGTGTATATACATGTAAAAATTCGCCACACTGTAAAGTTTAGATTTCCAGTCTCTACTGCATATATGTCATACCTCAAGAAAACACTTTTGAAGATTCATATTTGGTTGGTTCTAATTTGGTTGTTTCTGATTTTGTTCAGAAACAAAGTCACCAGTTAAAAAAACTCACCACTCTCCAAATTGCCCTGTAATGGGGTGACAGGGTTCTGACTATTGAGATGGAAGTGGAAACTGCTGGATAAAACTCCCAGGAAAGCAACTGTTGTCCTTCCTCCTTCCCTCTGCCTGAAACTCAGACGTGATGGCAGGAGGTGGAACAGCCATACTGCAATCATTAGGAGGAAAGCCAAGAGCAGAAAAACTAGAAGGGGCTGGGGTTCTTAATGACTTCCTAAAACGGAAAAATACTATTTTTTTTTTTTTTTTTTAGACAGAG